TGATGAGGGCGTTGGGCGCCAACGTTGTGTTGGCCCCGCAGGTCGAGGGAAAGCCCGGCAACGTTACGCTCGCCGACGTGACTCAGGCCGAGAATCTGGGCCTTAAACTGGTGGCCGACACCGGAGCCTATTATGTCAATCAGTTCAACAACGACGACAACTCGAAGGCACACGAAGAGCATACGGGCCCAGAGATCTGGCGCCAAACTGGCGGCCATATAGACGTCTTCGTTGCCACTGTGGGAACGGCGGGAACTTTTGCCGGCGTTTCTCGGTATCTAAAAAAGCAAAACAAAGATATCACGTGTGTTGTGGTGGAGCCCGAGGGCGCTCAGGTCATCAAAGGTGATCCGGTGACCAAACCCTTGCATGTGTTGCAGGGCTCGGGCTATGGAGCGGTTCCTCAACTCTTCAAGTTTGACACAATGGACACCACAGTCGGTGTTAGCGATGAGGAGTCCATCAAATACAGAAATCTGTTGGCCGAGAAGGAGGGCCTGTATATGGGCTACACGTCCGGCGCTAATGTGGCCGCAGCTGTCAAACTGTTGTCGTCGGGCAAAGTGCCCAAAGACGCCTGGATTGTCACTCTTCTCAACGATTCTGGCCTTAAATATCCGGCCGATAATTAGATACCGTTTTAGTGTTTGTCTTTTTTCTATGTATACATTAATATGTTTGAATTTGTTATGAATTGATTTTAAATAAATGTGGTTTTCATTGCTATTATCGCCTAATATTAATAATTGCGTTAAAGATATTGAAATCAGTGTTACTATCATTACTGATAATTTTGGTTTATATAATTGTCACATAGAGTGCTGTCTTTGAGATTTTATAACATTTTATATTTATGGTGTTTTGATTAAATATTAATTAAATTCTTATAATGTATTATTATATGAATTCTATTAATGTTTTATTTCTATAATTAAATAAATGTGTATTTGTTTAAAATAATTCAAGTATAAAATTCATGCATTATATAAATTAAGCTAATTACAAATTTAACATTTATGTCCATATACCAGGCTCGATGTAATTAGTAATAAGGTATTTTTATAATTATTACTTTAATAATTAAGTTAGTGCCCTTGTAGGAAATATACGACGAGACACTATTATATTAGTTCTATGTAAATGCAATGCAACATATTTGTATTCAATTTTGTCAATAATACATTCAAATAATATTTATTAAAAGTAATTTAAATAAATTTAAAGTAAAAATGACAAAAATGAAACAAACAAGTATTGATCTCATCGTTGTAAATGTCGTACAAAAGTTATGAACTTTAATTAACTAAACCAATCATTTGCTATAATCACTCGTAAAATGCCACAAATATATCCTCAAAATATTTATTTCATTGAATCAAATGAAATAAATGACAGCCAATTTTGTATATCTCGATGGAAAGCACTTACATAGTAACTAACATAAGCCGAGCATACCTTATGGTGAGATAGGATATGGATATTGAAAACTATATAAATACTGTAAAATAGTCTCACTATTGATAAAAACTATTGCAAACATTACATCAGATTTGATTGAAATACAAATACAATTAATTTGAGTTATTAATTAGTTTAACACGAGTGGAAATCAATGGCCAAACCGTACGGACCCGCAGACATCAAAGCGTCGGCACTGGAGTTGATTGGGAACACACCGCTGGTGGCGTTGGACCGTATATGGCCCGGACCGGGCCGTATACTCGCAAAGTGTGAGTTCATGAACCCGGGCGCCAGCATTAAGGACCGCTCATCCCTGTCGATGATCCAGCGGGCGCTCAACTCCGGCAAACTCAAGCCCAACGGACCCATCGTTGAGGTGACGAGCGGTAACCAGGGCTGCGGTTTGGCGATTGTGGCCGCTGTGTTGAAACATCCGTTAACGTTGACGATGTCGGCCGGCAATAGCCCGCAACGGGCGTCGAT